TAGAACACACTAGGTAGGTAGTTGGGTAGTTGGGTAGTTGAGCCTGGAGCTGTAGAGACTTGGGGAGGTTAGAGGTAACACATTGATTCACAAATAAGTTATCAGGTGCTCGGCACTGTTTTAGGTGCCGTGGTCTCTGCTTTTCATTCTAATGGGGGGAGCTGTTCCCCTTCAAATGAGTGCTTCCAGTGGAAGAATTAACAAAGAAATAGGATAGAGAGGGACTGTGGGCTAGGTGATCAGAGAATTACTTTGAGGTGATAAGAGACCTGAGTTATGAGATGAGCCACCCTGGGAAGATAAGGGGGAAGAAGAAGTGTTCTGGGCAGAGAGAAGAGCAAGTGCAAAGGCCCTGAGGCAGAATGAGCAGACACATTTGAGGGGACAGTTAGCAGGCCGGTGTGACTCCAGCCTGGTACACCATAGGAAGGGCCCTGAAAGGAAAGCGGAGGAGGCGAGGGCTGGTAGATCAGCGCTTGATCCCTGGACAGATGGGTTTATTCTGAGTGTGATGTTCAGTCATAGGAATTTGAAGATATGGGAATGGATGAGATCACTCAGAGTGTGTGCAGAGTGAAAAGAGGAGAGGACTCTGATATTTATTTGGGAGAGACCTACCTCAAAGGAGACTGAGGAGAAACAACCAGAAAAGTAGAAGAGAAAGCAAGATGATGTGGTAAAGAAATATGAGGAAAGAAAATTTTAATTATTAAGTGGCAGATGGTGGACAGAGGGAAAAATTGAAAATGTGGGCAGCGTTTAACAGTGTGAAGCTCATTGCCAGCCTTGGAAAAAGCAGTCTTCCTGAATCTTCCCTTTCTTTCCTCCCCACATTCAACATCCAGTCAGTTCCCAGAAGGATGGAAGCCACATTGCAGTGGACCAAGATGCTGGCTCTGGGGTGGGGGTGGGTGGTGTTAGGCTGATAGGATGACAGAAGAGGAAGGCTGAGGAAAAGGAAATGCCCAGTGAGAAGGGGCAGAAAGCACTGGTGGCTGCCCCAGGGTGGCTGACCATGTGTAAGGAACACCGATGAGAGAGCCACCCGTCTTAAGCGGCCACATCTGTTTGTTAGAATAGAAGAGTGTAGGTGTTATCATTTGGGGGAGTTTGATCACAAAGCACACTGGAATTTCAGTGGTGTATGGTAAAGGAGAAGAGGAAATGGAGGGACTGTCCTGTAAGCCTAGTGGGCCAAGCGGGATGACAGGATGCTGATTTCGTGTCCACTAGGTGTTGCACGTCCAGCTTGACTGGGAGCAGCGTTGATATCATGACAGAAAATGGTGGGTGGCACAGCCCAGGGTGGGAGTCAGGCCTGCAGGGTACATGGGTGGAAGACTGCCTGGATGAGCACGTGGGACCTCCAGCTTACTGTCAGGCATGCAGTATTCTTCAGCAAAACCCCCTTGGAAGGAAACGAGCACCAGACCACGTTACCGGTGCTGGAGCCTCCTGGAACCCTGTGCTCCCCAAGACCATTGGGTAGTTAAGTCAGGAACCTCTGAGCTGAGCACCCAAAAGTACATGACAAGCGCTTTCTGTGTTTGTTTTTATGTCTCTACAATCTGCTCAAGCCATTTTCTCATCTCTGTTGTGAATTCCTGGGTGTTATCTGGTTTACTCACCTTGCCTTCCTCTACAGTGCCTTGCACATATCAGGCACTCCTGCAAAAGCTCAAGGCTGAAAAATCTGCCAGGGCCACCACGTTCCACACTCCCCACCCCCGCCTACATCATTCCAGTTAAATTTTGAGAGTGGTTGAGAAAATGGCCCGGTGTTTCCTTTGGCTAAAATCAATTGGTATTGCAAAACTGAGTTGTTACTTTGGAACTTGTTTGCAGCTGTTTGCATGTGGATATTGAAAGAGGGAGTGGTAGCTTTTATAATTGTTAGGGCACAGAAGGATTCTGTTTCTAATCTGGGACAACCAGCTGACTCATCAAGTGCCTTGACCTTTTAGGTTTCCATCTTCCTCCTTAGTTAGGAAAATGGAAAACGGATCTCGTAGGTTTAAAGCGCCCAAACCTGACACAGAGCAACAAACGATTTTTCTAAAAAGAAAATAATAGAAAGAATAAAAACCCAAGAAAAATTGGCGACTGATTTTGATTTCCTTCTGACAGATCAAATGGGTGTAAATTAACCTTCCTTGAAGGAAACTTCAAACAATGAATCATATTTATGAAATGAGTTCGTTTTAGGAACATGGTTCCTTCCCCTCTTCCCCCGCTAGGTGGCAGCATGAAGCAGAAGAACCTGCATGAAAGTAAAGCGAGTGTCTGGCTGTTTGAGGAGCCCGTTCTTTTTTTTTTTTTTTT